AATCATTAGATATATCTGATGAAAGTTTAAAATATTTGTTGCTGTGGAGTAGTTAAACAGATTCTGTACGATTGCTAATGAATTTTTTTAGGAAAGTTTAAAAAACCCACATTGTTTTGAAAAACATGTTTTAAAAATAATTTTATAGACTGCAGATTTTGTAAATGATCATGTTAATTGTTGAGAGGGGGTTCCCAACCTTGTTAATGTCCCCTTAGCATTAGGCTTTTGTTCCCCAGCCTCGAATATGTCATTTTCTCCCACAGACTGCATTTCTAGGGGTATAATTGCTGTCTCCATGTAAAAGACAACTCATGTGCATAAATTTCCACGCACTGCAATGAGACACTGCCTCCCCTCATTTTAATGCAGATGTGATCCAGAGGGTAGAGTTACACTCACTTCCCTGAGCAGATGAAACAGATTACACATTAAATATTGTCTTTGGAACCAGGTGCACAGAAACAACCAATTACCTAGACAGCTCATCACGTCCCCATCTGTTTACTGCATTGGTTTTTGTTTTCTCTTTAAATATTTGGCGAATTATTCTGAGGCATTCATTTTCTCCGCAATGAACAGAATATGCTTATTAATAAAGGCCCTCTTTGTGTGATTCAGTAGCAGTTGACTCACAGAAGCCTGCAAAACCACATTTGAAAGTTTCAGAACTAAACTGAAGTTGTCTGGAAGACAAAGCTTCATCATTACAAAAAGGAGATTGCTCCTGGTTCTTCTCGACTGAACAATTGGTATAGAAACCACCAAGAGAAGGGTGTGAAGGAGTGAGGGACGCCTCTGTTTGTCCTTTAGATTTTTTATGGAATTGATCATAAAGGACAGCATTCAGACAGATTCATCAAATTTTGGTCACTGCTAATAACATCATCTTGTCTGCCCCCTCTTTTGAGACAAGGTCTCATTATGTGGACCCCTCCCCTTCTCCACCGGCCTGGAACTCACAGACATCCTCCTGCCACAGCCTCCTGATTATAGGCTTGTGCCACCACCATGCCGGGCCATGTTAATATTTTAAGAAAGAGTGTTGTTTCTTTGGGTGTTTTGTAAATCTGTAATGCACATGAACACAAGGGTTCTCCAAGACTTGTTTCTGTTGATCCAAGAGATGTCTACCAGTAGTCGAGGAGGGGCTGTTTTAGACTTTCCCAGCTGTTAGCCTCCCAAAGAATCTGAAGGGCCAGGCTGGTGACTCATAGGCTGGTGAGATCACTTTGACTTCAAGGCCAGTCTGGTCTACATGAAGGAGAGAAGGAAGGAAGGAAGGGAGGGAGGAAGAGAGGGAGGGAGGGAGGAAGGAAGGAAGGAAGGAAGGAAGGAAGGAAGGAAGGAAGGAAGGAAGGAAGGAAGGAAGGAAGGAAGGAAAAAAGGATGGGGAGAATCGGTAAAGGGTTGGGCTATGTGTGGGTACTATTAGGAAGGATGGAGCTGGGAACTTTGTGGTGGGTCTGTCCAGTGGGGGCTGCTGTCATGGGGAATAGGGAAGTGTTATTAAAAGACCCATAGAAAGGGTTAGTGTACATGGCTTGGAGGTCAACCACCTGCTGGTTGAGCCCTTAAGCAGGGCAGATTGGCTCAGTGATCCAAGCTCGTAAACCTCAGCCCTCGGCTTTCTTTGGAAGGTAGGGGGAGCTCTAAGCAAAAGAGGGGGAAAATATACAACAGGCAAATAAAACTATACAAGCAGAGAGAGAGGAAGGGAAGGAAAGAACAAATTGTGTCAACATATGTGTGAGTGTGTGTGTATGTGTGTGTGTACACATCTGTGTATGTGTGTGTGTGCACATCTGTGTGTGAGGATGTATGTGTGCACGTGTGTGTGTGTGTGTGTGTGTGTGTGTGTGTGTGTGTGTGTGTGTGCACATCTATGTGTGTGTGTGTTGGTTGGGACTGAACTGAGAGCCTTGGGTTTTGCTAGGCAAGTGCTGTACTCATGAGCTACACCCCCAGCTTCTGTAGTTCTTTTTCATAAATCATCTCTGAGATACTTTTGAGAAGATAACTCTTTTAGATGTGAGTAGGAGAGCCTGAAGTAACAAAGAACATTGCATTGCTCTCTCGTATTGCGGTCAGGGTGGAAGGGGTCCAAAGACTGTGGAGGGCAACCTGAAATGTTCTTGCAAAATTATGAATGCACACACACTTAAGCTTGCAGCTCTATTCTGTAGACACTTCATATCCATTAAATATAGTTAAATGTCCACAGATATTTAATTGTAAGATGGTATGTGCAAAGTTCTTGCTGCAGCGCTAAACAGAAAAGCAAAACATGGAAATGACCTAAATGTTCAGCAGGATGACATACTTTGTCAGTAAATTATGATACATCCCTACACCGGACACGAGAGCATTTGAAAACTGCCACAAGGATGTTCATAGCGTATTATACAAGGTGAGCTTCTCACTATACTGGCAAATAAAACAAAAAAGATCCCCGTGAGGACAAGAAAACACTCCGCCACATAATTTCAGCAAAAAGAAGAAACAGTAAAAGGAAGTCGGCACATCTATATTGGCTGTTATCACTGCACGGAAATCCCCAGCCGTGGGGTGGGAACAAGGACACAACGGGAAAGAAAGAGGAAGGTGACATGTGTTAATGCTTTTAAAAAATATCTATTTAATATATTTTATATGTGTGAGTGTTTTGCCTGCCTACATACATGTAAGCACATCACATGTGTGCCTGGTGCCAGCAGAGGTCAGAAGAGGGCAACGTCTCCCCTAGAACTGGAGGGTGTGCCTGAATGAATTTATGTGCACCACATAGATTCAGGTGCCTGCTGAGGCCAGAAGATTGGAGTCCCCGGAACTGGAATTACAGGTGGTTTGAGCTGCCATGTGGGTGCTGGGAACCAAGCCTAGGTCCTCCGAAAGAGCAGCAAGTGCTCTTAACCTCTAAACTATCTCTCTGGGCCTCGTTCTAATATTTTGAACAGAGTTACAGACTATGTGATAAATTAGCTGTTCAAAATGGAAGAGGCCACACTTGGCCTCTTAGAACCCCAGCATTGGGGAGGCTGAGGGTAAATTTGAGGCCACATGGACTACACAGCAAATCCCTGCACCAGAATCAACAACCAAAAATAAGTCAAGTAAACCAATTTTTTTTTACAGATAAAAAAAAAAAAAAGGATAGTTAGTGAAGCTGCAGCTGGTTCCAGAACTTTCCATTTATGCAACAATTTCCTTATCTGCACAGTGAAGTAGTTAATTCTACCTGCCTCTGGAGGGAGGTGGGATTATGAAATGAGATCATGCATCTAACTTCCAGCAATATGGTCCAGTGCCTGGGATGTTTTCAGTAAATATGTCTGTTTATCGTTATTCCTCTGTGCTGGGTGTGGTACTGTAAGTCTGTTGCTTGGAAGGACAGGAGCATCTGGAGATTGAGGTCGTTCTCAGCTACACAGTGAGTCTGAGCTCCTGTCTCAATGGCCAACACCAACAGCAACAAAATTCCTTTATTTAGTAATTGTGTGGCCTTAGGTTAAAGAAAAATAATTATTCTGACTATCATCACTCTTTTATCATAAATAAGAGCATGTGGGAAAAAGTAGTTGAGAATTATGGGGAATATGGAGAGAGGATGCAGAGGAGATTAGAAAAATAATATTTACTTCTCAAGAAATTGCTGAGGGGATCTATATCGTTGAACCACGTGTGTGCATGACTCTTCTGTACAGAATTAACAAATGAGAAGTCTATCCTGGCTCACACCTTGAACTTCTTTTCTGAGGTTCTGGTACACAAAACAGGGATGCTAATGGGTCTGTCTGTGGCAGGTGCCAGTCTCTGGATGAATCAGTAACTGGCACAAGAGGAATGGGCAGCGTTCACAATTTCTACATTGATGGAGTAGGGAGCTGAACATCCCAAGCAATAAGGAGTTGACCTGGAAAAATCTAACCATGGGATGGGGGAGGCTGGGAAGTAAACGTGGTATGTATGGTCTCATCAGCAGAGACAGCAAGCTGGGTTGATGTTTCCCTGCATCTGCAGGTGGTGTTCCTTACAGAAACATAGAAAACGTGGCTCAAAGACTCAACTACTGACTGACCTACGAACCTAAGAGAATAGAAGAGAAGCAGGCAGACACGACCGTAAATGCATGCTCTCTGGTCCCCCAGGTGTCTATGGATGGGTACTAAATTGTCTTGGGGACCCAGAAATTCTATGGAAGTTTGTGGGAGCATGAGAATCTTTATTTTCCCAAGGAAATACATGACCTTTCATCAGATTGTCAAAGAAGGCTGCACTCCTCCGCAAAGAGCAATAAACCTCTGCTGAACCAGTGACCTAAGGTCTATGACTAATGTCACACAGGGAACTTAAGGCTGACTCAGTAATAAAACTTTCCCAAAGACCATAAGAAAAGGATAAAAGGAACACCACTCTGCTCATGTAGCCCAGGTTAGCCTCCAACTTGCTGTGTCATCCAGGATGACCTTTTACTTCTGATCCCCTGGTCTCTACCTTTCAAGCTGGGATTACAGGCACCACTAGCATGTGTGACTATTTTATTTTATTTTGTTTTGTTTTATTTTATTTTTTGTAGTATTGAGGATGAACTTCATGCATGAGAGACAAGCACTCTCCCCACCACGCTCCATCCCCAGCCCCTAATTGCTTCCTGAGCAGACTGTCTTGTACTCTTTTTGTTTTGTCAAATTCATGTTTCTTGTTTACTGAATAGTCTTCCTTAAATGTGTTCACTCTTCAAACTTAAATGCCTATGTTAGCTACAGCCTAAGCAAGATATCTGTGAAATTGGGAGTATATTGTACTCCTGGCATTCCCCCCGCCCCCGCCCCGTTTATAGAAGAAAAATGTATTGTGGTGAAATGTGGAAATGTGGTGTTTGTATTGTTTCCCAGATCATGCAGAACACAGAGGTGGTCTTGTGGTGCTTCTGAAAACGGTTGTAGATATTCTAAGCTCCCCATCTGGCATCCATTGTTCAGAGGAGGAACCTGGGGCATGAGCCAATTAATGCACTTATTAAAAAAGCTGAACAAATATGAGGAAAGTTAAGCCAGGTTATGGGCAAAGCTGAATGTGTCCCGGCTCGGCCATGCTTGCCTGTCTTATTGCTATGCAGACAATTGAAAGCAATTTGAGAACTCACTCTCTCTCTCTCTCTCTCTCTCTCTCTCTCTCTCTCTCTCTCTCTCTCTCTCTCCCTCACTACCACGGAAAAGGAATCAACTAGACAAAAACTTGATCGATTTAATACTCTGGTAATGATCCCAGCAATTGAGGAAAGGGGGGTGGGGTGGGAAGCCAATGAGTTTCTTTCTACTCAAATTCCATCTCATTTTTTATTTTCTCTTAATTTTTTTTTTTTTTTTTTGAATCCCAAGTTCCAAAACCTGTCCCCTATTATGCAGTGCAAACGAGAACAGATGGGGAAAAGTTATGTTGGAAAGGGCTTTGGAGGGCCACAGAGGAGAGAAATATGACTACTCAATGTGTCACACACCAACTTGCAGCTGCCACCAGCCCTTCCCCACAAGAGCTGCGTATGGAAGCAGCCCGCGGAGCTCAGAAGGAGCAGGCGCACTGCAGGAGGGGGGGGGGGCGTGCAATTAGAGAACATTGGCTGCGCTTGTGCTGCCTTGAAAATAGGAATCAAGAGTGGGGCAGCAGCTCAGCCAGCAAAAGAGAAATCAATCCCAAGGCTAGCCTGCAAAATGCTGAGCTGCACCCCGAGCGATCCCACATGGGAACCGGGAATCGGCACCACGCAGCCTGTCTCTCTCCAAGAATGGCCCCTGCACATCTCAACGCCACCTTTCAGGTCTCGCTGTGTCTAGGACTCGTGCGGAAAAGGTCATACTGGCTCACATGCCTGATGTGGCCTTCCAGTAAGTATTTTTCAGTATTCGCGGAGTGCTTACGAGTTCCCCCAAACAGTTCAAACTCTGCCAGTCACAAGCTGAACGGCCTCAGGCAGGTCACCCAACTTCTCTGAGCTGGGGATCCCCCATGTGTAAAGAAGAAGCCTCTCGCCTTCTTACAGGCTTTAGATATTTGGGGTATTGTATGCAAATAACTGACATGTATGTTGCTCAGTTTACGGCAAATGTTATTATTGTGATGATCAGAAAGCACTGAAATGTTCTCTTTTCTTAATCCAATGTAAGATGCTAAGAATATATTCTTAGCCATATGTGTATATATACATATATGTATATGCATATATGTATATATATTCATGGCTAAGAATCTCTAAGGATTTATGCTAGGAGTAATTACAAGGTTAACATAGTTTAAGATACTAGAGTGTCACTCTATGGAGAAGCATATACTTAACGTGTGTCATCTCTGGCTCAATCCACAGCAACCCCTTCAAAAAAAAGAGAAAAGGTTCATGTGGTTTTGATTATTTGATTCAACTAGTGAGTGACTAAGGCCACAGAGATAGCATCTCCGAAGAAATCCTAATGCTGCAAACAGTTGGACAATTGACTCCAGCAGGAACCTCCTTTGAAACTGTACCTCTTAGTATAGGGGGAGTGTGCAAATATTTGGTGTCACTTTGATAAAAAGATGAATTTTTTTTAACAGGGGCATTTAAAATTCAGTTAGTTACCCAAGCCTGCCTCAGAGGATATTTTCAGCATATCTAGAGTAGAGCTGGGATCCACAGTTAAACTAAAAATTATTTGGGCCAGCAGGATGGCTGGGGCCGTCAGAGTGCCTGCCGCCAAGCCTGAAACCCTGGGTTCAACCCTCGGGCCCACGGAGTGGAAAGAGAGAACCGGCCTCGGCAAGTTGTTCTCTGACCTCTACACATGTGCACGCCTGCCCCCAATGGATAAATACATGTCATGTGAAATGACTGTTGAGGGGTGACTCAATGGCTCAGCAGGTAAAGGCACTTGCTTCACAGGCATGGCGACCAGAGTTTAACCCCCAGAGCCATGTAAGGTGGAGGGGGGGAACCAACTCCAAGTTCATGCTTTGCCCTTTCACCTCCACACTCATGCCAGACACACTCCCACCTCATTAGTAATACATAAAATGTAAAATTCTTACTTAAATTAAAAAATGACCAGTGATTCTTTCTTTCCTACCTTTTTTGGGATGGGGGGAGTGGGAGGGCTGGTGATGGCCATGGTTTTGCTATGTAGCCCAGGCTGGCCTCTAACTAGCTACTCTCCTGCCCCAGTTTTAGGACTATTGGGATTCCAGGCATGCACAGTGACACCCAGCTTGATGGGCGACTATGGAATGGGAAGATGAATACTCCAAGGAGTCCTCCTGGGTTTTCTACCTTCCTGCTTTCGCCACACACAGCCAGGCCTGCCTATGTAGCAGTGGCCAGTGCGACAAAGGCTGGAGTCTGGCCAGTAGCATATCTGTCCCCTACAAGCTCTGTTCTCTGGTTTTGCACAGGATGAGATTATAAGCAGCCTCCTAGTCTGCAGGAGACATTAGCTTCATTATAGTTTGTCCGAAGAAGATGGCCATGCATCCTGGTAGGCTCAGCATGGTTATTAATAATGTTCCTTTCTCCCCCCAAGTGCCTCAGCATGGATGGTAAATTACATCATTATTCTAGGCCCGGAGGAGGACACTTGATTAGCACACCCAGGACATGAATGAAGGTTGGCAGAAGTTCTAAGATGTGTTGTGTTAGCGCAGGGAAGATAAGTCCAAACACCACTGGCAACAACCAGAAGTTGCTCTGGGCTAAAGTAACGTAAGAATGATCAGAGAAAAATCATACTCTTTCAATGTATTCCATACATTGAAATCAAGAATTCAGGGCATGAAAACCGTGGGAAATAAAGACTGATTCATGTCCGATCTCTCACTCCGCACTCACAACAATAACAGCAGCAGAAGGCGTGATCCTGGCACCTACATGATCATTTTCCTCATGTCTGCCACTGCCTGTCACCTTGGGCAAGCTATTTCAAATCTTTGAACCTTGTCTTACTTGTAGGCGAGTGAGACTACTTGACAGTTCACAACTGTAATCTCTGTGACCCAGAGACCAAGGCAGAGAGATCATAGGTTCAAGGCCAGCCTGACTTAGATACCATCCCATAGCAAAACCTTGTCTCGAAACCAAGTTAGTGCTGCTTCTTTTAGTCCTTGAGAGTTGACATATGAATATGAAGAACTTAACGCTGTGGCTGGGTGCTCAGGGTTGGTCCCCTTGGTTGTTCCACCCATGGCAGCCACTGGGCAGCAGGTACACTAGACAGGCCAAGGTCTATGAGTATAATACAGGCGAGCTCATGACGACACTGTGGAAGTGGGAAAGATGTGTGTGTGTGTGTGTGTGTGTGTGTGTGTGTGTCTGTCTGTCTGTCTGTCTGTCTGTCTTGTTCTCTCCCTCTCCCTCTGTCTCTCTAGATTCTGAGTCTAAAGTGCCCCACCCCCGCAGTCTATCTCTTATATCTCAGAAAACTCAAACTCATAAACTCTTTTGTGAATGGAAAAGAAAAGACAGTTAAGACCTAAAGAAACAAGGAATGATTAAGACTGGTCAAGAAAGGCATAATTAGAGCATCAGGCAAGAAAAGTGAGAGAGGGGAGGAGAAAAAAAGGAAAGGGGGAGAAGAAAGGGAGGGAGGGAGAGAGGGAGGGAGGGAGGGAGGGATGGACGGAGAGACGGAGGGACGGAGGGAGGGAGAGTTAAATGAGTTGCCCAGCTGTGCTCTCTAGTTGAAACCTGTCTGGTTGGAGGCCTCACAGCTTCCCTAAAGGTCTTGCTAGTGTTCTGAGGTGGAGGAGTGGGGCACTGAGGGAAGAACAGTGTTGTTCATGTAACTGCTGCCTCTCAGCATCCAGACTGCTGTTTGGGTGGGCGGGATGGAGAAATACTATTCTGTTAAAGTGAGGAGCTTTGAAGTGGAGACAAACACAATCTGGTAGTATTACAGAGGCAGTATTCACCCTGATGACTCACTCTCTGGCTCCCACACAGCAGAGACAAGAAGTAACATCAGTGACCTTGAAGATGCTGGCCAAGTAGACAGAAGCCTCAAGGCTCCATTTTTCAAATGAACAAGTCTGTGTGTGTGTGTGTGTGTGTGTGTGTGTGTGTGTGTGTGTGTGTGTATGTGTGTGTGTGTGTGTGTGTGTGTGTGTGTGTACAGAAAGTGGAGGAAGACATGTTGGAAGAGGAACGCACAGTGAACAATTCTTAATAGCTAGCACAAAATCCTATTAATATGGAAACAGCTAACTCAACTGAGTGACAGGTACAAGGAACTTACCATTATGCGCAGGTCTCTGCTCAAAGCACTGAGAAGGCAGTTGGGTGTGGGAACATTTAAAATAATCCCTAGCTAAGAGGTAAATATGGAAGCAATCCCTTTATCTGAGTGCACATCTCTTCCAACATTTCCATTCATCAGTACTTCTTGAGTACGCTTTGAGGAACCGAACTATTTCCTTGTTCCAAGCCACATACGGATCCATGTTCGGAGTCCTACAGACAAACTTCAAACAGATGCGGTCACCAGACCTATGACAGCATGCAACAGAAAGCAGACGGTGATAGAAGGGCATGCCAGGACCTGCAGGTGTGCAGACAGTTGTACAATGGCCATCAGACGTGGCCTTAAACCAGCTCATCCCCTTGTGCTACTAAAACCTTTCACCTTTCAGACGTGGAGTCCAGCCAGCTTTAGGCTGATAGGGATAACTCATTCTTGGAGTTGAACACACAAACCTCAAAGAGAAACAGAAAGCAAACTGGAAGTTCATTCGAAGCTGGTTTGGAAGAGAAGCCGGAAGAGGATGGGATTAGAAATGGCTGCCAAGCACAGGGTACAGGTAGACTGGAGACCTCCAGGCTCCTACAGTCTGTTCCCCACGTAAGTGTCCAAAGCTTTCACAGTTGTGTATTTGGTTGGAATTGTCCCTCCATGTTTTTTTTTTTTAAACCATACTAAAAGTGCTTATTTTTATGGATACATAGTATACTTATAGCAAGTAAGGTGTGGTTTGCCTAGAATACACAGCTATAATTAGAACCAACACAAAAACAAAAGGTCTCTAAGAATCTCCCTCCTTGTTCAGAATGATGTCAGGAAGAAAGAGGCTTCATTACAAGACAATCTGCATTCTTCCTCGGGCGGCCGAGAACGGCAAAGCAGGAGCTTGTCACCCTGGTGCCACTGGGCTTGTCCTTGGTCTGTTCCTGCAATCCTTAGGCTTCATTCTCCCCTCATTCACCTGCTGTGAGAGTGGCTCACAAGGGCACCCGACAGAGCTGCCACGTATCTGGGAGGTTGCATCTAACCAATCTTTTTTTTTTTTTTTTGAGAACTGGGGATTGCATCCTCAACCTGCTCTGTCAGTTCTCACTTTTATTTTTTTAAAGATTTATTTATTTATTTATTTATTTATTTATTTATTTATTTATTTATTTAATTTATTATGTATACAGCATGTATGACTGCAGGCCAGAAGAGGGCACCAGATCTCATTACAGATGGTGTGAGCCACCATGTGGTTGCTGGGAATTGAACTCAGGACCTCTGGAAGAACAGACATTGCTCTTAACCTCTGAGCCATCTCTCCAGCCCCAGCATCTAACCAATCTTAAACCCAGTTCCAATTCCTCAAAATACTAAGATAGGCTTGGTTCATGCCGAGAGTCCGCCTCTGAAAGAATTAACTGGAGCCATAGGGTCCCATTGTGCTAGCCCCGTCACAATGAAGTTCGCTTGGGTGTGTGGGCAGGGGGCAGTTTAAGATGTGTCTGCCAAGGTGATGTTGGTGACAAGTAACAGGATATCTCTCTCTCTCTCTCTCTCTCTCTCTCTCTCTCTCTCTCTCTCTCTCTCTCTCACACACACACACACACACACACACACACACACACACACATATACACACA